AGGCCTGCAGGGGAGCGCATGGGGATTTATCAAAAAGCAAATCATAACAAATTCCAGAAACAATAACTACTGTCTGTATATAACACAATGGAATTCCAATTTTCTCTTCTCACCCAAAAGGTACGTGCATTGTTTAAGCTCAGCACATAAAAATCTTCTGTGGCAAAAAGTGTCTTTAATGATTAACAGAACAATTCTGGTAGTGCAGGTGTTATCTCGAGAGATGCATAATTATATGAGAGACTAAAGGTTTACTCACAGTTTGAAAGGGAGGTAGGGGCGCGAGGAAGATCGTAAACAGATTGGGAATAACTCCTGGCCCTTGTTCACTAGTGGACCACTCCACAGAGTGTAGCAGCTCTTCCCTGCAAAGGCATCAACAGCACAGGTCAGAGGTCAGACATGATACAAAGAACGCAGGGCTCATGAGTTCACATAACTGCTGGTTTGTCACTGAAACGGCCCACGTTTTGACAGATATAATTTAGATAATTAGCCCTGAAAATGTCCTCTTCTGTAACTGACTAGAAGTGAGCATGTCAATTAAAGTGCTGATGTTAGATCTTAGGTAATTAATAAAATAACTAGTTTTCCACTCCTGGTGTGAAATGGCTTATATGTTTCATTACATATTTATAAAATATATTAAGAAAAAAATATGTTTTACCTTTACTTCCTTCAGGGGAAATAGTGTTAAACCTGTTAAGGAGAGAAACAAAAGCTTGTTTACAAACACAGCACACTGTGGAGATGTTACACATCTCTTGCAAACCGCCTGAGTTTCACCATTTCCTGCAGGAATATGTACCTGTGTGCAATCATAGGAGTTGCTGCAGCCTCCTTGCCTTTGTACTGAAAGGAAACCACAGCGTAGGGGCACACGTGCCTGGGTCGTGCCTTGATCTCGTCAAATGCAAACTCGAAAAAATATTGCTGAAAAATAGCAAGAAAGATGCATTAACTTACAACTTCTGTCCAAGAAAGAACTTTAAAACATCACTTTAATAACACAATATGAACAATAAGCGAATGGAAAACAAACCAATGTTTACCTGTGTGAGCTCAAAAGCCCTGTAAGACAGCAGAGAAGTAACCCTATTGGCACTTTTAGACAAGTGACAGTCAAACTTGGGTGTAGGTTCTATAGCATTCTTAGGCATGTTCTCATGGATGTGCTTTATTCGGCCCTGAGAAACAAAACATACTGGTGAGCTTAAAGTCCCGCAAGAGTTAGAACTCTGTCAACACTACAAAATGAAAACAGAACGGTAGCCTTACCCTCATAACTTTAAAAATGATAATGTCTCCAGAAGAGCCCACTTCAAAGGGATTGATTTGTAACAAATCAGAATATTTGGAGAGACAGACACCTACAATGACAAAAGAACCGAATCAAAGGAAAGGTATAATAAACATACTCAAGTTTACCCACACAATCATTTCTTTGCTTCAGTGGGTAGTCAGTTATGAACCAACATTTAAGCGACATATTGTTGCATATATCAGAGCTGTTCCCAGCTGATAAGGCATGAATTAGCCGTCTTCAGTTGTAACTTTCTGGTCCAAATGCTAAACAATAACACCTCCTATCTACAACAAAACTGTCTCTTTTTAAAATCAACAGCAACATGCAAGAGACAAACTTACCCATTGATGGATTTCCTAGTGTCGTAATCCTTGAGTGTCCAACAGACAGACCCTTCTCACAGATCCACTGGAGCTAAACATACAAGACAACATAAAAAGTTCAGAACAAACACAGAGAACAAACACAACACGCTTTATAACTTGTCCATCAGCCATACCTTGGATTTGTCCGGATAAAGGAAACAGTACGACTCAGTCAGTTCTTGTTCTGTCCGCCCCTCCTGCTTCATTTCTCTCCGCTTCTCGATGAACTGGCACACAAAGGGAGGAGACAGCAAATGAAATAGAGCCGTCTGAAACCCACAAACTCTCACATGCATGGCTCTGGCACAATGTGTGCCCTGGGAAGATTACATACTGAAAACATTTCATTACAACCTGCCCTCAGCATGTGCTCTTTCCTGTCACATGAGCTACACGAATTTGATCAAGAACTTCTTATTCAAATTGCATTATTATGTTTCAAGTGTGTTATTATGTTTGAAATGCTCATGTTGACAGTGTGGGGTACAGGAAGACAATGACCAACCTCCTTCTCCAGCAGCTCATTGTGTATTAGTCTGGCCTTGCAGTAGGAGAAGGTTCCTCGTGATTTTGAGTCTAGGTAAAACGAGGAGACGATCTTCACGAGGTTCTCAAACTCCCGGCTGTCGGGGGGCAGAAACTGGTACAAGCCTGCACACACAGAAGGGACTCAGTAGATTAGCATTTGTAACATCTGTAAGCGTAGACCTAAAAGTAGCATGCCACACAAACACTTTAAGTCAAACTAGAGCAGAAAGCAGCATAATCAAACTGACCTGTCCTCCTCTTCTCTCATTTACAGGGTAACATGACATTAAGATATCAACTCCAAAACATGATTCTTTCTTGCACAAGGAGAAGATACATGTGTCCTGTGTTTAGACTTCAGCTCGATATCTAAGTCTGATGCTCTCATGTAAAAGCCACTAGGAACATGAAGCGATGTTAACTTGGTGCCTGTTCTTTGTGCATGATTAGAACAGGTCAGTGGGGTTGCAGTGAATCTAGTCTTGTGGTGAACTCATTCATCATGTGCTAAAGCCAGCTCAACACAACAGGCTACTGAAATGTGCTTTGGGAATTACTAGGATGGGAAGAACACTAGTCAACAACAGTACAGAGGAATTCCTTACATCAACAAGTCGCTATACGGGTGACTGTATCTGTCTACATTTACATGAGGTGTATTCTGTCAATCCAAACACATGCAAAGAGGTGAAACAATCACTTTCTGACTCCAGGCAACCTGAGTGGAAGAATCATCAGCCTCGAGCCGTGGGGTAACAAGTACGAAACATCCCCTGTGTGAGGCAAAAGAATGAAGTCTGGAGACATACCGATAGAGTACACAGTCTGTCCCAGAGTTAAGTTTCTAACTTGGGCAATAAGACATTTTGTACATTACATACAATACAACCTGCTGAGGTACAAGCTACTGCAAGCACAACACACATTGTGGGACTCATAAATGTTCAGGAACTCCAGCTCAACTTTGCATATATACAAATAACTGATGTATCACAGCAGGGTTTGTAACAACCACTATCCATATGCCACTTTGCTAAGGATACTACGGCCTTTTTTTTGGAAATATGATGGGGAGTATGTGGAGTACTGTACACTGAGGAGGTGAGGTGCAGATGGGATGCTCTTAAATGCCAGTCACATCAAGCTGGGACAAAAGGGGTGTGGGCAGCCCTACTTAAAAGAGTTCATAATAAGTGTCATAGTACTGTGAAAACATTTCAAATAGACGGGTGGGGTGGATAAATCCATGCCCTTCACTGAGGTCAATGGGACACCCACATGTTGTCAGGTGATGGCTGCAACACACTCATGACACCATCAGCAGCAGCACTGAATGAGACTATGGTCCCATTAACAGGTGAGGAAACCAAACAAGGTGGGCTTTCAAATGGGCAGTCCTCAAAGTGCAGCTTCCAGGCGCCTTCACGGGAACTGTTCCCGTTAACTGCCTGCTTCTCACTGGATAACTTGGGATACCTGAGTAGGGTCTACCCGAAGCTATGGCTACTGTAACAACTCGCGGTGCATCAACACTAGACTATCCGTGTGCTGTAATCGCATAACGCATGATTCAACTTAAAACCTGCGTTGTGGGTTAACATTTAGTTAAACTAGTTAAACTAGCGACCAAACCAGCCAGCTAGCTCGTTAGTTAGCAGGCTAGCAACATGCAGCAGCAAAATTATGAAAGACAGGACAGGGTCTGTTCAAAATTGCAGCTATATGGCACCACCTTTCCGTTCTTTTATCTTCCTCGGGATTTGAAAATTTCTCCGTGGCAGCTCTTCGCTCGGTCTCTGGCCCGGTGAGGGAGAACTGCTAAAGCTCCGGGCGTCCGTCTGCACGCTCCTCCGCCGCTCAGGGGCTTCTTGTTCGGGCATTACACTGTCTCCACATCCAGCCTGATCGCCATTTTGGTTGGCTGTGGCCGAGGTGGCGGCTGAATTCTTCAGGGGTTCGCCACCCTCCGGCTGGTGATCGTCCGTCTCGGTACATTCTGAGTCCCTTTTCCCCACCGCGTTGGGGTTCAGGGCCATTTTCGGGCACCGTGCACGTAATACGGGCAATGTCGCTCTAACGATTACGGCGCCGCTTCACACACACACTGTCCTCCTCACCCAGCCTCCGCCATTGTGAAAATGACGTACACGTTCTTCTCCACCACTGCAAAACGCTGCCGTCACTATGTTTACATACGAGGAAATCCGCGCCACCCAGCGGCGGAGGGATATACTGCGGCACTTAATATAGTGATGGGATGTGAGTGAACGTGGTGCTTATTAGGAATATTAATTTGTTTTTCATTACGCTTAATTATTTTGTTTTTTATGTGTTCTTTAAAAAAAATAAAAAATAAATAAAAAAAATAATATATATATAATTTTTTTGTTAGCAGCAATCATGTATTGTGCTGGGTACTATTTGTTTGTATTTGGCATACTAACTTATGTACACTTTTTTTATTGAATAAAGCTACAACAAATAATGCTCTCATTTAACAGAACACAACAGGAATAAGCTGTGGGATGAAGTGAAATATGTGTGAGTATTATGAATCTGACTGGACATAATTACTCTACATTTTAACATTTTGTTTTTGTATCATTATGCACCACTTTATAACACCTTGTATCACTGCTTTACCCCACATCCTGACATGGCTAGTAGATGACTACTGATTATTGAGGTGGGTTGATGCCAACCTATGGAACAATACTACTCTTGTAATACGTCATTGTACCACCAGGTGATGATAAAGAGGCATAGATTCTTCATCTCACAAGAAAGGCTAAAGAAATGTGTAATTTTAGGTTTTTTTTAATAACATTGTAAACATTTTAATTAGATACTGGCTGTATGCTTTATTGCATTACATTCTGTATTCACATTATAAAATGTGACTGAGCTTGAAATAATAATTAGAATATTAATGTAATCCCATGCATGTTTTTCCTTTAGGACCCATTTGCTATAACAGTAAATCTTTAAACAAGGCATTAATGTGTCACTGTAACTATTAAAAGACAGAACTAAACAGTACATACAGTTTTGTACAAATAATATTGTAAGGCATAAAGTACATGTACTTGGAAAGCACTTTCCAAAACACACAATATCAAGGCAAACAGATAATGGATAGTGACTGTCTTTGTCCCTCTGTCACAGCGGTATCTGTGACAACTGTAAATGTGTTTTCACTCTGGGTTAAACATGGTGCCCCTGCTGTAAACATCAAACTCCTTGTAGCGTAGGTAATCTTTCAGCCTGGTAGGAAGAGGAAGGAAGTTGATGAAAACTGGGGCTCTCAAGCGCAGGCGACTGAGATGCTCCCTTATCCGCAACCGACACAGGTGCTTCAGGCTCCTTGCATTTCCTGTGTGTAAATAAAGTCAGTTAATTCAATGAATGCACATAAAGTCATCAATACACTTTTGCTGACAGGTAAAAAATAACTGCATCGTGGCAGTTTTTACTTTGAATGTGACAGATCTCCAGCCACTGTTTCTGCTCCTCCAAGGTGTCTTTAAGTTTGGTGCAGAAGGAGACATGGTCGGTGTAGTCGAGCATGATGCGCACCACCTGAGCAGATAAGTGCTTAAGCCAGGACACTGTTATGACCTCACAGAACTAGAAAGAGACAAAGACACACGGCAGTCAAAGCAAAACCCTGAAAGAAAGTGTTGGCACCCCTGTGGAATTCATTCATATTATCTTATAGATTCTTTACGCCGGAGGCCTATTTGGGGGTTTCATGGGACGCTCAGTGAACAGAGGTGAAAAAACAATTATATTACTTATTACATTCGTTATCAATGCTCAGAGATACTGTAATTTTTGGGAAAGTTTTTCCCACTTAGAGACAGAAACTTATAATTGCCTTTTTTTATGTGTTTGGTGTAGTCTGAAGTTTTGTCAAACATAAATATTAGGCAATCTTTATCAATTGTTAAGAGTCTATGGGATCAAATAAGATAGTCATGATCCCATCAATGGATTAAGTGAAACTAAGCATGCAAACAAATGGGGGTGGGGTACGGAAGCCCTAAAGGGCCATGCATTCATACATTTTATTTCCTCCGTTTTCCTGTGATAACGACTTCATTTTCTCGAGATCTCGAGATAACGAAACTTTGGTTTCCCGAGATAACGATATAATTAATTTGAGATCTCGAGATAATGACTGTGATATGATAACTGCGGTCAAGCCAGCTGTTACTCCGATCTCCGTGGTCAAATCAGCCGCACTTAAATTTACAGCGTATTCACTTCCGGTTTTCAAAATAAATGTATTAAGAAAAGTAAGCTATAATTCAAACCTACATTTAAAATAAAATATGTTACACTGAAGTGTTTCATGCGCCCATGATATTTGTATCTCCAAGTGGCATCTTTTCTCATATTTGAGGTACTGTAAACATATTGCTCAATAATTCCTGGCTATGGATGGTATATTTGACTTCTACACATCTAAGACTACACACACACTTAATATCAAGCATTTTTACTGCACCAATTTGGAGAAATTCAACAATAAAATTCCATATTTGTACCTTTTACTGTACCTCAAATGTATGAAAATATGCCACTTGAAGGTACAAATATGGAACTTTTGTTTTGGCATTTCTCCACATTGGTGCAGTAGAAATGCTTGATATTAAGTATGTTTTTTATTCATCATGGGCGCATGAAACACTTTAATGTAACATATTTTATTTTAAATGTAGGTTTGAATTATAGCTTACTTAAATCTCGTTTTTTATCTCTTTTTAATCTCATCGTACATGTGTACAGGGACAATAAAGGCATTCTATTCTATTCTATTACTGTTCTTAATACCTTTATTTTGAAAACCGGAAGTTAATACGCTGTAAATTTAAGTGCGGCTGATTTGACCACGGAGATCGGAGTAACGGCTGGCTTGACCGCAGTTATCATATCACAGTCATTATCTCGAGATCTCGAATTAATTATATCATTATCTCGGGAAACCAAAGTTTCGTTATCTCGAGATCTCAAGAAAATTAACTCATTATCACGGGAAAACAGAGAAAATAAAATGTATGAATGCGTGGCCCTTTAGGGCTTCCGTAGTGGGGGGCACATTCTCAGACTTTAAAACCCATTTTTGCTTTACGCTATTTTTCTCTCACACAAGCTTTGCCTTACCACCATGTCTTTAATGATTGAGGTCGTCCAAGGAGCGTAGTCATGGGAACTGTTGCCGTAGGGACAGTCAAAGCAACGCTTAACATCATATCCATGGTTCAGAATCATTCTCAGCATGACCTCATCTTTCAAGGCATACTGCAGTGCCGAGGGGAAGTGAGTGCTGTTGACACGGGAGTAGTAGTTGACATTTGCTCCAGACTTCAGTAATGTGTTGATCATCTCATAGTTGCCCTGCCTAAGAGCCACCTGCAAACAGTTGAGAGGATCCTGGTTCACCATTGCCCCAGCCTCTAACAGCAAACGGGTGCACTGAAGATCATTGTTGGACACAGCAAAAAAGAGGGCAGACTTGCGCTCATCATCATAGTTGCGGCGCACCCTTGGGTGCAGCATGAAGTTTGGATCATAGCCAGCTTTAAGCAGCATCTCCACACAATGGGCATGTCCCCCGGCAGCTGCAGAATGGAGAGGACTCATCCCACTTTCCTTTACAGCGTCCAGCTTAGTCACTGGAATGAGGTGCTCCAGGGCCCTGTCAAAGAGGAGTCCTCATTTAAGAACATGACAGCAGATCAAACTGTAAGAGAAACCTAGATGCTGTAATATAGATATTCCTCACAGTATGTGTCCATGGTAGGCCACACGGTGAATTGGCAGGTGCCCACTGTAAAGAGGTAGGTTGGGATCTGCTCCATGGTCCAGGAGTAAGGAGATTATGTCAGGGTTTCCTGATGCTGCTGCATCAAACAAAACGGTGCCAGACTCCGATTCACACCACACATCAGCTCCTACAAAATATATATTCAGTATATATTCAATAGACCATTTCCTGAAAAACCGTATGGAAAGAGTTATCCACAGTTTTGCATACAAATAGATGATTTTTTTTATCTTCTACGGTTGCACCATACATTTCAGATCAACTCACTGAGTGATTGGAGGTTAAAACACCTTATCTCAAATACCTTTCTGTAACAGGACCTCGACCACATTCAGATGTCCATTCAGTGCAGCCAGAGACAGTGGAGTTTTCTTTTTGATGTCACACGCATTCGGGTCGGCACCCGACTCTAGGAGCAGATAGACAAAGTTCTCCAGGCCTAAGAAGGCGGACTCATGTAGAGCTGTCCTGTTTAGTGGTCCTGTTTGGTCTACTTTGGCATTGTAGCGAAGCAATAGCGTGGCCAAGTCGTACTGGTCATTGAGAATAGCTAAGAAAAGGAGAGAGAAGAATTAAAAAAATTAGCAACTATCTTTAGGTGTCTGTAAAATGATCTAAAGGTTTATTTTGTATTCAGATGTCAGATACCTGCCACTAATGGAGAATCCTGCTCATCGTTCTGGAGATCTGGGCTACAACCGTTCTGTAACAGGAATGTGGCATTCTTTCTGAGTCCATGAACCACAGCCAGAAACAGTGCAGTCTCACCCTTCAGGGTACGACACTGGACTGCACCTGGGGGTGATGCTGGAACCCAAACACAAAACTAATCAACATGCCAGAATCGGAAAAAAAGAATCACTTGTTAGAGTCGTATTGTTAATAACTTGACTACAACCTGAGAAGATAATCTCAAGTATCCTTTTATTCTCTTGGACTGCAGCCTCGTGCAGTGGGATCCACCCTCGGTCATCAACCCTGGACAGAGTCTCTGGTTGCACTGCAATTCTGTTCAGTGCATCTTCATCACCTAAATACAAAAACATATTATCAGAATATATCAGAACCTCTGGCAAGATTAATAATGGTTCGACAGGTAAAAGAATTACATCAGCTTACCCTCCCTGATGGCTTTGAAAATCTCATCAGGGTCTTCACTGGGTTTCAGATCACTATGGAAAGAAATAAAAAGGATTCAAATGATCAAGAGACGCACGCTGTACAGAGATATTAAATTCTGGGTGGTGAGAGATTAACCTTGGATTCAATCCTTTGAGCTTTCTATATTGAATCAGACTTTGTTCAATCATATATTGCGTTGCCTCGTCTTCATCCAAGTCGTCCTCCGATTGATAAAAATCATCTTCTGTCTTTGTGCTCATCTGTTAGTCCAGAAAGTTTTAGTGCACAAGGGGTTGCTCTGGGAAGACAGTCTTAAGGTAAACAAGATCATTAATTCTGGTACCTGAGAACTTGTAGCCCTGAATACCAACATGGAAACGTAAACTTGAGCACACTACAGTTAAACACAGAGTAGTTGCAGACAGCTTTATTCCTATTGTTAAATTAGATGTCAAATGTCACTTAAATGTATTCAAGATACTGGATCTAATGATTTTGATTTTGCCCTATAGCTCTTAATTTTACAGGCCATGTGAGAGCTACAGTACAGTATTTTATTTTTTATAGTTTTATATTACAGTATTTCTCAGCGTGTCCAAAACAAAAAATGCATGGAGGTTCCTACTGCACAAATGACTGATGGGAGCATTTCTTAAATATGAATTTTAACAGTACGAGTGCTATTAAATGATCTGTAAATTCAACAACATAACCTTGAAATTCAACAAACCATGAAGTCCAACACATTGTCTATACTGTACACTCTGCACTAATCAGTCTAGTTTTTTCTCAATAGATGCATTATTTATGTATTGTATGGTGTTTACCTTCAGTCAAATGGCTGTGCCTTCGGTGGCGTTAACAACAGTAGAGCCAGTAGGCTCCTCAGTACCCCTACATGCTGCAGTTATTTATATCTCTCCAACTATAAATATCAGATCACGGGGTCTTTACAGCCAGCACCTGGCTGTGACCCACTGAGCACTGCCATTACTGACACCATTCAGCTCATATGCACATTCACTCATAACACAGTAATTATTAAACACAGCAGGATGACTTTTGCAGTAACACCTACTACAACAGTAGACAAATATTAGGTGTTTGGATTTCATTTGATTGCACATGCAACAAACAACTAAATTAAATACTGAGACTGCTGTGTACATATAAATAAGTTTTACCTACATTGTTGCTTTACTGATTTGTTTTATAGGGAACAGCAAAGTCTGTATAATAAAGACAAAGCAGCAGATGGTTACCTACACATTTATAGCTTGTGAGATATGTAGACAGTCACAGTGAGGTGTTCCTCACAATGAGGAACTAAAACACATTGGAAGGAATGTACAGATTATTTACAATGATAAGATTCAGTCTACAAGCAAGATGATCAAGCTTTTACACCAGCACTAGTTTAACATTAAGGTTCTTAGTTATTAGTGTTCCTGGTTCTTATTACCTGCCAATTTTAGAAAGTTTTTTTTCCCTCACATTTGGCTTGTGGCCACATTACTGGTGCAGTATATGACTGTAAATGTTTTTCTAAAGTTACCCTGCTTGATGCCACATAGGGATTTTTATGATGAACTGGTGTAAAAACTCCAAAGGCAAAAGTGGAGTATTAAGTTGCTAACTGAGTAAGAGTTGCTGTACACTTGGCAGAATCTATGTATAGTATGTACAGTACTTGTGTGCAGGAACGAAATAAGAGGCTGCATGCATTATGTTTCTAAAGTTTCTTAGATATAATAAAACCAATGTAGCGCACTCTACTTTACTTGCGTCCTTTATTTATTGAGAAATCAGTGGATCTGTTGCACACTTTGTTACTTTGTGAATTTAAGCATCTTATAGTTAATATTTTTGGAATAAATTATGTCAGACATGCATTGTGCAGGAACAGAGAATCAGAAAAGGTGCTTAAGTGTTTAATGTGTCTCAGTAAGGTCCTTGAGTCTTGAACGGTTTTCTGACTTCAGTCATCAAGCTGGCAGAGCATGGCCACACCGCGCTTGATCCAGTATTGGGGGCGCCTGCTTGTGGGCAACATCATGGAAATTACAAAATTGGTGGAGTGGCCTGTGGTAGAGAGGGTGCCTTTCCTCTCAGTGGTCTTGTAGAGAGGGCAGACAAACAGCTGCTGAGGCTGATCAGTATTCTTCCTTTGACCTGAATGGGAAAGAAGGAAGCAAAGAAATGAAGAAAATCAGAAGCAAAGAGTCAGGAATATGAAAAGGAAATTATAATTATAGAAAAATACAGCAACATGTTAACAATAATGGGGTTGAAATAGACACAGCATACATTTTATTTGTCATACATTTGGCAGTGTACAAAGTATGGTAATACTTACTGGGTTTTATCCAGATAATGGGCATAAAGTCAAATAGGACTTTGGGGTGCTGCTCTGCCAGAACTCCACTTATGAGGAACAGACAATAGTTAAGGTTTATCAATGCTCTTTGCATGTCAATATTATAATGGTATATAATTACTGAACATTTACCTTCCTTTGTCCCATCGAGCTCCATCCAGAAACAATCCATTAACGTAAACACCATCCTCAGGCGATGCGTCTGACTCATATATAGGAAGAACCTGTAACATAAAACCATGAAAACTAAACCACAGGTCAGTTTACCCTTAGTGCTACGAGAAGATCTGAGGTGGAGAAGGAAAGTGAAAGCCTTTTGACCTCAAAATCAAAGCCAAGCATGTCAATGGGGACATGGTATTTCCTGGCGTAGTTCTGCATAGCCCCAGTTAGGAAGGCCTGGGTGAAGAAGAATCCAGACAGCCAGAACACATTGGGTTTACTGGTGTCATACCAATCCTACAGACACACAAAGTAAAAGTGAAACTTTGAGTGGAATAACAAACTCAACAAATCTCCCATATGATTACAGTCCTTTCTGCTGTTCATTTAAATGATCTTTATTAAGCAGTCTCACCTGTAAAAACTTGAGCCTTGAAAGAAAGTCAGTAATGTAGCTGCCCAAAGTCTTGAGACTAGGGTAGGAACGCTTGGCCCATTTCTCTGGGACCTTGCCCACAATTAAACTGCCTGCAACTGCCTCCAGCTCTGCATCCATCACTACCAAACCCTTTATGGCCTTCAACAGGTTCTGTAGACTGACACGGATTGTACTACACAGCCTGAGGGAGAGCAAAAACAGCAGTTCAGTCATATGAAATAGGTAATGATGTGCTGTATGTCTTAAAAATCTGGACTCAGCCGTTAGTCCGTACGTGTTGTAGCGCTCCATCTCTTGAACGAGAACAGTGTTCATGCTCTCTTCGTAGAGCACTGGAAACTTCAAGAGAGCTGTTTCCGTGTCAAAATTAGCTGGAAGCTGGGAGAAATAAGCAAGTCAGCTAATTAAAAAATATACAAGGCAGCGCATTCAAATTATAATCATGGTTAGGTAAACACAAATGAAAACTGGCACTTTAGTGGAAAGCTACACCTGCACTGGTGCCATGTGTATTTCCTTCCAAAATATTAAACCCAATCCAATGTGTTTAGTGCCTCACTTAAGAGACACAATAACACTCTCTAGATATCTCTAATCTAAGACTCTGCAAATGTTAAGGGATCACCAAAGTTATTACAAGTCATACTGAGGGGAACATGGTTCAGCAAAGTACAAATGTCTGGAGAAAATGTTGTGCCAATCTATCAAAGAGATGTTGAGATATTCCACATGATAGGTGAAAACTTAAACCTGCTGGTGAGGAAATTCAAAGGATCAGGACCATGAATGTCTGTAAAAAGTTTCATGGCAATCCATCCAATCGTTTGTGAGATATTTCAGTGTAACCAAAGTAGTCAACCTACCGCCACCCCTAGAGCCTCGACACTAGCATGGCTAAAAATAGCTAAATGAAGAGGAAGTTTATTAACTTTATACCTTAGTGAGGATGTCATTCGCTATGTCATACAGTGCGTTGTCACTTCCAGAGCTTGCCCCTCCCTTAGCTCCGCCACCCTGGGTGAGTAGCAGTGAATCGAACAGTAGCTTTGTCTGCTGGAGATCTTTGGAAATGTCAACATTTTCATGCATCCCAAACACCTCTGGATGCTGGCTAAATGGAAGCTCCTAGAACATAACAAATGTATTGTTATTCAGTTCAAAGTCATTACATATATACATAAAAATAAATATTTATGCTCTTTATATGTGTTATCTCAAGTGGCTTTACCTTGATAAATACAATGTAGTCCTCATAGTTAGATTTAGGTGGGGCATAGTATTCGCCGCTAGGTGAGAAAGGGTAGCGGGGTTTCTCAATGATGTCCTTGTTGTAGAAGTCAGCCAAGATGGTCATCAGGAGCCGCCTATCCCAGTCGTCTGTCACACGGCCACCATAGTTGCACTCCCCGGTCAGGTAAGTTATGGCCTCGAAGGGCACTTCATCATATTCATTCACAAAGAGCTAAAAAGGAAAAAAAATGTAATCCATTTTAGAGTCTTGTGATGTACAAACCTAGCCACTGAAACTCTGAATGAATACCTGTAGCTGTCTGATGCTGATACGAAGGTCAGACTCATTGAAGCCATAGGGAATATTCCAACCAAGTGGACCAAACTTCTTCCTCTCCTGAACAAGAGCGTGAAAGAAGCACAGTCCGTACAGGAGCTTCTCCCAAATCTAGTAGAAAAAGAATGTCCTTCATGTGACTGACCTATTACACAAATAAACACAAATTCCTGCCACACACTAAATGTAAGTTAGCTTCCCCAACTCACCAGCTCTTTCTCGGGACAGTTATTGAAGAAGTCTGAGTCAGAAACAGGATCTGACAAGTAAGACTGTAACAGGTTGAGTCGGAGTCCTGTTGGAGGCTCGTTTGTCATTTTCACCCCGTTCTGCAAGATGGTCACTGGAAACTAATATCAAAGTTTTTCAGTTTTTTTTCTTTAGGACTATGATCAGAAAAAAAGCTCTATCTATCTATCTTTCCTGCTTCGTTAACTTTTACACATGTGCCGAATGAAATGCAATGAGCTCTACCTTGGCTGAAGGGTAGCTTGTGAGCCAGAGGCGGAAGTCTGGGTGGCATGTTGCTGGACTGAAGTCCTCACAGGTTTTCTCTAGGGTGGACATCCAGGAAACGGCCAGGTGACAGTTCTGCAAACACACCCATGTCCCATCCTGCATGGCTGTGGATATCATTTTGGCAGCGATGGGTCCCTGGCCCTGCCCCAGAGAGATGGACTGGAACTTGGCACCATCCATTTCCTTGTCACTGGCAAACTTGAGTAAGCCTGCGGAGGGATGTTGTTATTTTTAATGATTTTGAAGAGTAGCATTATGTAAAACCTTGACAGCCAGTCATTGGTACTGCAGGGACTTACTAGCCATTGGATCAGCTCCTGGAGACAACACAAACACGAGTGGGATGGTGGAGTTGGAGTCCAGGTAGCTCTTACTTAGGTCAAAGGGAGGGGGCTGGACAAATTTCTTCCCCAGTTTGCCAGTGACATATTTAGTCACAGCTGGTACTATCTTATCTGACCTGAGACAGCGAACAATGATCATCTGCTGCAGCTCATTGAGTCGTTCACACCATGGAGTGGGCAGAGGAATGTTGCACGGCTCTTTGCTGTCATAAATCGGCTTGAAGTCTCCTGGGCTTTTGATGAAAGCCTCTCTGTGGAATAAATAACACTTCAATTCACTCCATCAGACAAAACACATTTATAATGGCAAACAAAGAAATTGTAGTAATAATAACAAGTAATAAAAAAGCATGTTTTGTTGAGTGTTGCTTTTTACTTTATTCCTTGTAAGCCCGGCAGTTCGCTGGCTCTACAGATTTCATCCCAGCTCTTGTCCTGTAGCCAGGTGGGGTCGGGGTTAGCAATGGTGTTCTGCAGGCCCACTCCTCCGGTCAGCAAGAACATGAGGTCAGTGTATTCAATCTCCTCTTTTGCTCTGAGTGAAAACAGAAAAACATGGAACAACATAAAACTCCTATAGTAAAACTTCATATGGTTAAAAGCTGTAATCAAATTATAATCATCTAATCAATTTAACCAATATGCCCCAGTAGCAATAACACTTACAGGAGTAGATTGCAGCAGAGGAGGAAGGAAAAGAGAAGTTTGTCCCTCTCAAACAGAGAGCGGCAGACGTTACAGTACAGGTTATAG